CAGTATCAAAGTTTTTGTATACTAACACATTTTTTACCTAAAGGAATATGCTTGCTGATACATTTTAATGTTGCATCTAATATATAAAGGATTCTGCCAACTGTCTTTAAAAATTAAAGATTGAAAGGCACAGTGGGGGTGTTATCTGGTCCAACACGGAGCTACCATCACTGATAAAATAATGGATTCATCAGAGTATCAACTTTTTCTTTGTGCTTTCTGTAGTATGGTTCCTACCCAAAGTTGCAAGTTGAATAAATTGCGTTATTTATGACAAATGAAACAGTTCCTACTTCGAGGAGTTTACTTTGTACTAGAGTGTACAATATCTACACAAAGTATAGTACAAGAGAAACAGAGGTGGAAGGTGACAGTAAGAACTAAGGCAATCAGAGAAAGCTAAATGGAAAAGATGGCATCTGAGCTGAATCTTGCAGGGAAGACAAACTTTCTAAGATAGAGAAATGAGGACTGAGTAGAAAGCATGAAGTATCATTTCTAAGAAACTGTCACTTTTGGAAAAGAGCTTTTAGTTCAATTTAGCTAGAATGTAGAATTTGGAGTTTCATATATATAGTTTTACATATATGCATATATGTTTATAGTGATGATAGTTAATACCTGGTTTCAGAGGGCCTTAAATGCTAGAAAGTGTATTTTGTTTTATTTTGCAAGGCAGTTAGGGTTAAATGACTTGCCCAGGGTCACACAGCTAGTGAGTATCATGTGTCTGAGACCAAATTTGAACTCAGGTCCTCCTGAGTCCAGGGGTGGTGCTCTCTCCACTGCGCCACCTAGCTTCCCCTAAGAGTATATTTTATATCCTCTAAGCAATGAAGTTTTTGAGGTTTGTGACATAGTCAGACCTATACGCTAGGATGATTATTCTGGCAGCTTTCTAGAAGACAGAAAGGACAGAGGAAAGAATGGAATGAGGGAGAGCAAGCAGTTAGGAAGTTACTACAGTAGTACAGGCAAGAGGTCATTCAGGCCTATATCATGGTAGTGGCCGTCTGAAAGGGAAGAAGAGGACAATTGTGAGAGATGTTGTGGAGGCTGAAGGATCAAGACTTGGCAGTGGATTAGATAATCATGTGAGGATGGAGGAGTAATGTGAGACAGAGAAGAATAAAGGATGATTCAGAAGTTGTGAATATAGCTGACTGGGAGGATGGCGGTGTTCTCAACAGAAGTTCAGAGGGAAGATTGGCTTTAGAGGGGAACATATTGGAGTCTGTTTTAAGTATGTTTCATTGGCCTGCCTACAGGACATACAGGAGAAGATATCTAGCAGGCAGCTGATAATGCCTGGCTGTAATTTAGGAGAGTGGTTAGGGCTGGTTATATAGATTTGGGGAATCATCTGTATAAAAAAATGATTCTTAAACCCATGGGAACTAATATAATATCTGAGAAAGTAGAGACAGAGAAAAGGGCCCAGGCCAGAATTCTTAACCAACAACCATGCCAAGAAGATAGAAGATAGAATGATGATCCAGCAGAGGAAACTGAGAAGAAATGATTGGAAAAGTAGGAAGACAGTGTCTTGAGAGGCAAGAAAAGAAAGAGTGTCTAGGAGGAAAGAATTGTCAGTGGTATCAAAAACTCAGAGGTCGAAAACAATGAGAAATAAAAGTTCATTAAGATTATTTATAAGTTAGAGACCTATAGAGAAAGCAGTTCTGCTTCAGAGATGATATCAGAAACTAGATTTCAAAGACTGACAAAGTAAGTGATTCAGGAAGAAGTGAAGGCAGCAAGCATAGAGGGAGAGATAAAAGAAGATAACTTGAGACTATGGCAAGTGAAGTGAGATTTTTTTCTTTATTATTAGAAATGTGATAAAAATTAACAAACATGAATGTGTCCATGTATACAGAAGAACAGAAAAAAAGATGATGGTATATGACTAAATTTCTGTGATGTATAGTTTAAAGTATATAGTGATCTTATTAGCTCCCATAGATTCAATTGTCATCTCTCTATAGATGATTCCCAGATCTTTATAACTAACCCTATAAGAACCCATGGTTCTATAACCGTAGAACCCTGGACCTTCTTTGAGCTCCAGTTCCATATCATTGATTGCCTGTTGGTCATTTTAAACTGGATATATTCCATAGGCATCTAAAAGTCAACCTGGCCAAAACAAAACTAAAACAAGTCAAAAACAATAATTCCCTTTCCTCTCCTTCTTAACTTCCCTATTACTGTCAAAGGCACTATCATCCTCCCAGTTACTCAGGTTTGGGTAGATGGAAAAGCAAAAAAAAAGGTGATTGTATATGACACCATGAATTTCTGTTACTCTCTTTATATCATCAGCTCTTAGCACAGTGCTTGGCACATACATAGTAAGTACTTAGCAAGTGCTTATTGATTTTTCTATAGTAAATTTAACACAGTAGTTTGAATACTGCCCTACTTGTCTATATCCTCTTCTGGACTTTGATCTGTTCCCTTATATGTACTTTTAATGTTTCATTAACTTTTTCTTTCTTTTTTGTATCATTATTGCTACCAATATTCTCTCTAATTCTCTCCTGTCTGCCTGGTCCCCCTAACCCCTACAAAACCCCACCATTGTAGAAAAAAGAGTATTTGAGTAAAACAGATCCATGCAATGGCTATATATGATAGTATTTGTCTCATTCTAAACCTCTGTCAAAAGATGGGACTAATGCTTCATGATTAGTCTTCTGGAGACCTGATTGGTCATTTCATTGATCATAGTTGTTCAATCTACATGGTTGTTTTCTTTTACACTATTGTAGTCATTGTATAAATTGTTCTGGTTCAGTGCTCTTCACTCTGTATTGATTCATGTAAATCCTTTCAAGTTCCCCTGAATCCTTGCCATTTGTTGTTTCTTACAAAACAATAATGTACATTACATTCATATACCACAATTTGTTCAGCCTTTATTCCCCCAACCTATGGGCACTCACTTTGTTTCCAGTTCTTTGCTCTGACAAAAAGAAGTGCTATAAATATTTTTGACATGTAGGTCTTGTCTCTCTTTCTTTGATCTCTTGATATATATGCCTAGCAATGGTGGGATTGCTAGATCAAAGGATTATGTTAGCAAATTTTTGAAGTATCTTTCCAACTTGCTTTCCAGAGTAGCTGGATCAATTTACATCTCCACCAGCAGTGCTTTGGTGCACTTGTCAAGTGAAGGTTTATTAAGTATGGGATAGACTTGAACGTGTTTGTAAGCAGCAGAGAAAGAATCAAATCAATTTATTTACCCTGTGGCACTTTTTTCCTAGTCAGTCAATAAACATTTATTAAGCATCTACTATATGCTGGACACTATGCTAAACACTGAAGATACAAATAGAAGCAATCTAATGGAGAATCTAATGGCCACAATCTAATGGAGAAGACAGCCAGCAAACAGATATGTACAAATAAGCTATATACAGATTAAGCAAGAAGTAATTAAGAGAAGGAAGGCACCAGAATTTAGAGGGGTTGGGAAAGGCTTCCTCTAGAAGGAAGGATTTTAGCTGGGACTTGAAAGAATCCAGGGAAGCCAGTAGGCAGAGTTGAGGAGGGAAAGCATTCCAAGCGTGGGGGACAACCAGAGAAAATTCCCGGAACCGAGAGAAGACTTCCTTGAAAGGCCAGTTTTTTTTCTACAAATAGTCTTACCATTGAGGCATCGAGGTGGCATATTGCAGCACTTCCTAAACTATGGGTCTCGACCCGAGAAGTACTGAAGGGGTCCCAAGTGACCTAAGAAGCCCTGGCTGGTGGATGAAAAGGTGGAATTGGAGTCAGGAAGATCAGAGTTTGATTTCTGCTTCATATATTTATTAGCTCTGTGTGACCCTGAGCAAGTCATTAACTCATCTGTGAGATGGAGATACTCGTAGCATCTGATTCACAAGGCTGTTAAGATAATCAGATGAGATGACATATCATACCATTTTAACATGTGCAAAGTGCTTTACATGTCAATGTGAGCTATTGGTAGAAAAAGTTTTGGCCACTCCATCGCGAAACTATACAACTGGACTATTTGTGCTATTTATTTTTACCTGTCTTACACAGTGAGGATGTATTTGTTTGACATGTGCATCCTTTTTAAAGATCACCTAGAAACTCTCTTGGAACTAACTTAGACAAATGTTAAAAGCCTGCTTAGACCTGCGATGTAAAGAAACAGAATTGGCACTTAGACCACACTGAAAAGACTCTATTGGATGCCATTTGGAGCAATGGAAAGAGTACTGGCTTGGGGCTCAGAGGACTTCCATTCAAATCCTGGCTTAGTCCCTCCTTACTTTGTGACTTTGAGCAAGTCACTCATCTCTGAAAGTTTGTTCCCTTATCTTTCAAAGGTCCCCTCCATCTTAAAATCTATGATCCTGTGACCTCTATGCAGTAGCTAGTACAAATTTTATCCCCATTTTACACATAAGGAAACCAAAGCTCCAGTTAAATGATTTGGTGTTGTAATTGGGATTCAAACCCAGGTATCTTCACTCCTAGTCCACTGCTCTTTGCAGGAGGCTGCATTTTAGTCTGTCATTATTGCATTCTACCATGATAACTATCAGCTTTCTCTTAGACTGATAAAAGTTTGTGAGGCAAAGAGGAATCATAAGTACATGTGATGATCTCCTCCTTGCTTGTAGCAACATAAAGCCCGTTTTTCATGGTAGACTGCCTGGAGCCTTGTGCTCTCAGGAAGTACTATAGTATTTCTTCTCCTGCTCAACCATTAATAACTCAGGAACTCGTTATTTAGTGCCCCTGCTCAGTGGCTTAGCTTCCAGGCATTCTCACTTGTTTTTATTAAATTTTAAAAACTGTCTTTTTGATATGTTTTGTTGGTGAAGCTAATGGAACTTTGTTTATATGTTAGGTGTACACAGTCAATTCAAAATTAAAACATAGTTATGTGAAGTCAGATACTTTCCACCACTTTAGAGTACCCTTGACAAATAAATGGAAATGTCATCTAAATTGTGTCTGTACTTTGTTTTCAGCGTTCCTATTTCCGAACTCTTCTCATGCATGGATTCCACTTTCTGGTGTGGTTCCTCTGTGTCAAAGAAATCAGAGACACACAATGTGGTTTCAAATTGTTAACTCGAGAAGCAGCCTTGCTGACTTTTGCAAATTTGCACATTGAGCGATGGTAAGTTCTCTGACTTGGCAGTATCTAACGTTACAATCTTTTCCTTACAACTGAATGTACTGGCTTTTAAAAAATTTGTGTATATGTAACCTAGTTTGAGTCATTGCATTTCTATTATATTTATTAGATACTAGTTTAAAGCATGAAAGGTTATTTTCAAAGATAATAAAATTCCAGTATACAGATTTATATAAGCCTACATTTATCTACTGAAAAGTAATCTTAATTATGAACAGTATGAAAAAAGATAATTATCATGGTAGAATGCCCCTCCCCAACAGTACATTCTTTTTCTTTTTTTTTAAAAGGAAAAATAAAGATAAAAAGTCATAATAATAATAGCATTTATGTAGCACTTTAAGGTTTATAAAGCATTGTATAAATATTATCTTGTTTTATCTACACAACAACCCTGAGAAGTAGATGCTGTTATTATCTGCACTTTACAGATTAGGAAACTGAGTAACTTGCCCAGGCTAGCAAGTATCTGAAGACTGATTTGAACTCAGGCCTTGCTGGATCCGGATCCAGTGTTAAATCCACTGTGCCACCTACATGCCTTATCAAATATCTAACAAAACAATACAGATAATGAATTGCATCTGTATGCCAAAACCCAGTATATTTGGAGTCAGGGAATCTGTATTCAAATCCTTGCTCTGCCATTCATTACCTATATGACTCTGAACAAGTTAATTAAACACCTTTTGCTTCAGTTTCCTCATCTGAAAATAGAGTTAATGATCTGTAAGGTCCTTTCCCTCTAAAGCCTATGATCTTATCATAAATTCATTTGGTTATCAGACTAAGATTGTGCTGAGTAAATTTCATATAGGGCCTTCAAAGAATGTCCACTTTCCTTATTTCTTTCCAAATAAATACTTTTATTCCATGTCTGTTTAGGAACATCAATTTTCACCTTTAAAAATGTACACTTTAAGGAATGTAACTTACTGAACTAAAATTGATTTTATTGAGCATGGAAGTATACCTCAAATATATTATGAGTAATATTCATATCTGTTAATTTTAATATGAAACAGTTATCATGTTTTGGGTTTTTTTTGTTTATTATGTTTTATTATATTATTGACTATTAAAGAGAATAGTTATTCCCAGTTCCAAACTTTAGCTACTAAAAATATTTGCTTTTGATTGAAAGAATCTTCACTTTTATGCTTTCCTTAACATCAGGTTAAAAAATGGTAATTATCCTTTTTAAAAGTGAGAACCTTTTGAGTTGTTAACATTTAGTTAGTTACTTCTCTTTATATAATGTAACCAATCCTCTGCCTCAATCACTGAAACTTGCCCAGATTCTAATTACTTAGTAGTCTTCCCCAGTTTTCAGCATCTGTTTCCAGAGAAACAGATGCCACACCAGAAAAAATGAAGTTGCTTTGGAGAAATCTTTGTTAAGAATTAAAATGATCATTAGAATCCAAAGCTATTTAAATTCTTTGTTTAAAAAATGACCTATTTTTCTTTGAGCATGCATATGTTGTTACTATGTAGAACAGAAGAATCACTGATATGAATAATCACTATGAAATATGAAACCAGTGAACATAATTATAAGAAGCCACACTTGAAAGGAAGTTCCTCCCCCTGGACCTGAAGTTATTCATTCAACTGTTATATCCAGATGGGCCAAGGGACTTGTTCTTTGTAGTTTAAAAGCGAGGCTTTAGGAATAGGGAATAGTGTTTTCATTGTTGAGGTTCAGATTTTTCCTTGAAGTGTAAAACTAGTTATATTCGATAAACAAAATATGATGAAAATGCCTTTAGTTTTTTTCCTTTCAAATTCAGTTTTTGTAAACAGTAGGAAAAAAGAAAAAAAAGAAAACCATTCATGGAACGGTTTTGTTTTCTTTCCTTTATGGCCTACGTTGGTGGGTATGTGTGTGCTTTTTGTCCCATGTTTTAATCAGTATCTTTGGGATCAGTAAAAATCAAAAGTTGTATAGTTGGTGGCCTTCTCTTCAAAAGTCTGTCTTATCCCATTCCTTGGTAGCATTCTTCAGCATTTCATCTCAAGCTAAATGGAGAGTCACCAATGTGCACACATAGAATGTTGTGTTAATAAGCCTTTAATCAAAGCATTTTTTTGCTCCAGGGTTGTTATTTGAAAACTTACTAGTTCTTCCTTTTGAATCATAGAACAAAGGATATATTTTATTTCACTGTAATTACATTTCCAGAACCTCAGAATTCTTGTGTTCTTTCTTTCCTAGTATTATCTTGTCCTGAATCTTTTTTGAAATAAAATTTTCTTGATCTCTTTCGTTTTTACATTATCTTCATTTCCCAGTGTATTCCTACCCCATCCCAGGGAACCTTTATTATAACAATGAATAAACCTCGACTTGATTCTTCAACATAAATGTTTTGAACATTAGGAGGGATCACTTTTTTAGCCATTTTAACTCTTAGACTACTCAAAGCAGTGTGAATTGTCTAATTGGGAAATGGGGTAGGATGAAGCTGTAGACTGGTAAAAAACAAGTCTAGAAAAGCTGTAGAAGAGTTATCTCTCACAGGTAGCCCCTGGGATACTTCCAAGACAATGTTATCTTTAAGCTCTGCAAGTTAGTAACATCCCTACGAGATATGTCCTCTGTCCTTGCTTGTCCTTATGCAATTAGGGGAGTTTTTAATCTCTTCTAAAGAGACAGAAAGTCTGGTAGTTTTAATCCCCTAGCAAAGATTACAGGATACAGATGAGTCTCAGAAAAAAATTAACATTTCTCATTTGTCAGAGAGGGGGCAGTGATTAGCCTCTTGTGAATGCCAGCCTACCTTTCTTAGTATTGCCAATTGTAATGTTCCTGCCTCAAACCTACAATCTGTCACTTTTTCTCCATACCTCCTCAGACCCCTCCTTTTTTATGTGTCAATAAAGAGGGTCCCCTCCTCATTTGAGTCACTGGCTTTACTGAGGTTGCCAGTCTGGCCCATTTTGTTAACAGTTATATGTGTTACTGTTAATAAACTGATTTTGCTCAGAGCCATGTACCTCACTTTACCTTTATTGATTTTATTTGCTGCACTTCTTTCAAAACAATCTTGGATTTATTTGTATTTATTCTCTTTATATTTATTCTACTTAAACTTTTATGTGTACGTGCTGTTTCCCTTTATACTCTTTGTATTGTTTCTTTTTTTGTTTTTGTATCCCCATTGACTACCACAGTGAGAAAGTACATAGTAGGCACTAATAAATGCTTGTTGGATGATTAATAGAGACACTGCAGGCTTCTTAATGCTTCCAGAATTGTAATGAGTGAAATATGGTTAATGGCAGAAATAAAATTCCTCAGAAACATATGGCTGCCAAATGCCTTCTAACTAATGTTAAAGTTTTATGTTGCCACATTTGTGAGTGGTTCTGAAAATGGAGTATTTGAAAGTATATTCTGTTCTGACAGTTTCTTTAACCTCAGTAAGTATATATTTCCTCCCAGGACAATGCTGGGAGCAGCTATACTAGCAGCACATTCAAACATGGGAACTATCTCAACCTTTAAAAAGCAGATTTCAGACATTTAACCATTGCCCTTGTTGTAACTATCTAACTACACTCTTACTCATTATAACTATGTGATTACTGCTCCCCTCCCCCAAATACTTGGTATTTTACATAAATACTTACCATATGTTTGCTTTCTCTTTATTAATTTAATAATTATCAACAAATGCAAACATTCCAACATACCAAGAACAAAAAGTATTGTTTATTAAACTGGGAACATCTGTTATGTAATTTGTTTCTTTTTAAAATATGTATTTTACAAAGTAGTAACAAAACTGCCCTATTTGTATTCTCATCTGAACTTTTTTGTTTTATCAGTGTTCTTTTCTTTTCTTTATTTTTCTGTTTTTAAATATTTCTTTCACTTTCCACTAACTCTACTTCTATCCTTCCCACTTGGAAATCCTTGTATTTATTAAGTATAGCCAAGCAAAACATACCTTGGCCGTTTCTAAAACTATCTCATTTCACACCTGTAGTCCTTCATCCCTTCCAAGAGGCAGGAGGTATGCTTCATCAATGTTCTGAAGTCTTTTACAGTTGTTTTATTCTACATTGTTGTGGCCTTGTTCTGTTTATTTTACTCTGCATTAGTTGATACAGGTCTTCCCAAGTTTCTATGAATTCCTCATATTTGTCATTTCTTATGGCATAGTGATATTCTGTTACATTCATATAACACAGTTTGTTCCTGTAGTTCCCTTTTGATAACTATCTGCTTTGTTTCAAGTTCCTTACTACCACATAAAGTACTGCTATAAGTATTTTTATATATGCGCCCTTTCCCTTTATTGACCTCTCTGAGTTATTTTCCCAGTAATGGGTCAAAGGGTTTAAAGATTGGGTATAGTTCTAAATTTTTTTCCAGAATTGTTACACCAATTTATAACTCTCCCAACCATTCCATTAGTATTCTGGTTCGCCTAAAGCCCTTACGATATTTGTGATTTTTGCGTTTTGTCATCTGATATGAGGTAAAACCTTAGTGTTGTTTTAATTTTCATTTACCTTATTATTTATGATTCTGGATGTTTTTTCATAAGGTTCTTTTACAAGGTTGCATTTCTTCTTTTGAAAACTGCCTATTCATATACTTTTATCATTTATATTCTGTAGGAATGGCTCCTATTCTTAGATATTTGTATCATTTCCCTCTGTTGACTATCAGACCTTTATCAAAAATATTTTTTATACTTATCCCAATTAACTGCTTTTATTGTAAATTTAGTTACATTTGTTTTTGCAAAATCTTTTTGATTTTATATAATGAAGATTGTCCATTTTATCTTCTGTGGTCATCTCTATTCTTAATTAACTTGGGAATTCTTCCCCTAACCATAGTTAGTGAAAGGTACCTTTTTCCATTCTCCTCCATTTAAAAAAAAAAAGTGATCTTTAATATTTAGTCTTGTGTCCATTTGTAGCTTCTTGTGATACATGGTGTGAGAAATTGCTCCCAGCCTAATTTCTGCCATATTACTTTCTAGTTTTTCCAGCAGTTTTTGTCAAAGGAGTAAGGCATTCTAATTATTACAGTAATTTCATGTGCCTTACTGATAAAAAGTGTTTGTTACTTATGTGTGGAGATGTGATTTATTTTTTCCACAATCTTTTTTGGGTCTTCCAAAATCCCACACTGGTCACAGCCAGTGTATGTCAGAGGAAGGACTTAAACTGAAGCATCCCTACTGCAAGGCCCCTCTCTGCTATGCCATGCTGTCTCTAATAACAAAAACATAACAAAATGTATAGTCATTGTTGGGTTTTTTCATAAGGTGATTCCAGCCAATGAGCTCTCCTCTTACCTATTCCTTTACATTTGCATAATTCTTGAATTGAATCACTTTTCTTATCTGATAAGGTATAGATTTGACTAACTAGGTACTTGGACAATGCATTCTTTAGAAAGTTATTTAATATTGAAAATCCTGTTCAAGTAATTCAGCTATCAGAAAACCTATCTCAGCCCAACAACTGACACTTGTCTTGTAGTATGCTCTTATGAAATAGAAAACAAAGGAATAATGGAGAGAGTTCAGGGTGAAGCATAAGGCTTAATGTTGAGTTTCCTTCCTTCAAAATTGTCAATCCTGTTTAACAGAAGTTTTTATATTTCCTTTTGGAAAATACAAAGCACCCTCTTTTTAGATGGTTCTACCTTCCTAACTAGATGTTTAAGTAGGATAAGAAAAGGTATTAAGTGAGCTTAAAATAACTTTTATCCTGAATTATCCAAATATCTCATTTTGGGGCTAGTTACATAATTAGAATTTGAACAGGATAGGGAGAGGCAAGACCCTTAAAGGGGAGAGAAGGAAACCTCCTTCCAAATCCTTTGTTGATTGAGACTAAAATGAATCTATCTGGGCCAGAGTAATAAAGCATCACTTTATTCTTTTTTAATATGTAATAAGACTTAGAAGTGTAGGCAGAAGCTTATACTACCCATGGAAATGTAAGAGAGTAGAGATGGGAAGAAACCTGTTTCTTATAGAGAACTTAAATTTTTTAAGTGTGTGGAAGGATTAAGGGACAGTAGATAATTCTTTCTCATTCATTTTTACCATGGACTGTGCACTTATAAGTGTACTTCATAAGTGAACAGGAGAAATTCAGTGGCAAGATGCAAGAAAGCAGCATGCGTGTCAGTGCTCATTAATGTCTCAGTTTCAGTGTAAGGGTGGACTGTGTTTCTTCCTCAATGATCAGAAAAAGTACAAGAAAGTTTCACCGTAGTTGGGGAAATAAAGGCAAACTAGGAAATGGAACTAGAACTGTTCAAAGCTTCATTGATGTGTTAACTTCTCTCAATAAGACTGCACTTGAGATTACCTACCTGTACCAAAGACCTACTCACATTTGCACCCTAAATATCTATAAGTATGCTATACAATAGCAGGAAGTGTAAGGGAATTAGCATTTATTAAGTGCCTACTCTGTACTAGCCACTGTGCTAGGTGCTTTATGAATAATATCTCATTTGGTCTTCACTACAACCCTATGAGTTGGGTGCTATTATCACCCCCATTTTATAGTTGAGGGAGTTAAGACAGAGATTAAGTGACTTGCCCAGGTTCACAACAGGTAGAAGAAGCCTGAAGCTAAATTTGAATCCAAGTCTTCTTAACTCCAGGGCCAATGCTCTATCCATTGTACCACCTTGCTGCCACAGTAGGGGAGAAGATGCCATCAGAGAGGGGACCCAGGGTCATTACCTTTGGAAGAGAAACCTTGATTCTCTGAGTTAGTGGCAGCAAAATTACCTAAGCATCCGCAGGCTGTGAGCCTTCTGTTTGGGGGCTTCTTTGAGAATGATGTCATCATCTCAATATTAGGTTGTTGATTAAGCATGAAACAGGCTCTCAGTTCTACCTGAACATCTTAAAGTTAAGATTGACAAGGATCTGTCTCAGATGCTTTAGATTAAAACATTCTTTAAAATAACAGGGCTGGGTTTAAGACCTTCTCTATGAAAGTGTCTAAATGTTCTGATTTCTAATCAGGACTCTCGATTTCTCCTTTAACTGGGTCACTGTCAGATCCTTAAGTCATTTTGTCTCTTTCATAATTTAGCTTTTTATTATTTAGCTTTTTATTAATTTCATCATTTATGGGGTCTGACCCTCAGAGCAACTATGTAAACTGCACAACTGTTGAACAAGCTAATTTTAATTATGTCACATAAGAGATCTAATTACAACCCAATTTGCTTTTAAAAAAAATATCTATTTCAGGGCATTTGATGTAGAACTTCTTTATATCGCACAGTTTTTTAAAATTCCAATAGCAGAAGTTGCTGTCAACTGGACTGAAATTGAAGGTAAGTGTGAATTGTTCATATGACAATTGATCTAAAATCAGCCCAAGTCAAAACAAAATTTTAAGATCCCTTCCTTTCCCTATTGCTGTCAGGACCTAGGCAATTTTCTATGTCAATGAACCAACTCCATGGAAAAGCTATTTTATACCTTTTCTGCCAGTTTCTACTCCTTTCCCTTATGTAATGGGAGAGGTACCTTTTCTTAGCCAAGAGATTCACTAAGCATAGCTCACTTAAATAGGTATCAGAAAAGGTACCATACTTGTCAAAAGTTGGCAGAATAGCTTAGAATCTTTAAGGATAGATGTGTTTTTTGTTAACATTGTGTTTGTTTGACTCATTCTGGAGATATTTAATAAGCATCTTTTATGTACCCAATACTTTTAGGGGATTGAAAAGTGGATAAATCTGCAGTCCTGCTCCCTGCATATACTTTCAAAATCTATTCAAAACCACTTCTTTTTATCTCATGTATATATATCCTATATCTGAAAAAAAATTATGTCTTTTGTGTGTTTCCCCTATGATTTCATTAATATAGAGAGCACCTGAGTGAGGAAACTGGCTCTATCAATGCAGATCTAAAACTGTTCTTCATTTATAGGATTAGAAAATTGCCTGGACAGCGAGAAGTTAAGTGATTTTTCCCATGGCCCTTTAGCCAGGATGTGTCAGAAAAAGGATTTTAACCCAAGTAGTTCTGATTCTGAGGGCAACCCTCTTGTCCTACTGTACCATACTGCCTCTCAGTCCATAAATATTCTGGGCTATAGTGATTTTGTTTATAATTGTATGCTCTTTACCAGATAGAGTGCCAGGCTGGGTCTCCAGTAGCTTAATGTATAACTATATACAAGTAGGTAATTATAAGTGTCTTTGGCTTGGCACTAGTTCTGATGTTAACTTGCTTTGTAAGTTGTATCTCCTTTAAAGCTTATAAAACAGCAGACAAAACCAGATGAATGTGAATGCCTGAATGAATGTTACCTTTCTCCTCATTCCATTCCTGTCCTTTCCAAAAGGAATCTTACCTGGCTATTTGGGTTAATTCTGTATCTGGAAAGTCTCTCGGTCCAAAAATTGATTCTGTCTTCACAAAGTTCTCCAGATTATTGATGTTCTAGAATCAGCCTATGCCTCCCCAAGCTATTCTAGAGCAGATATCTTAGCTTGCTTAGGGTTTGAACTAATCTCTGTGTGTTAGAGAGGAAGGAGAAATAGAGGTGTGTTTTCATTGCTCATGCCTTCATTTTCAGTTCAATTCATTGAGTGTTTATTAAGTGCCTTCTTATCAGCCAGACACTGTGCTAGGCACCGGGAATACAGAGACAAAAAGAAAACAATTCTTGCCCCCAAGGAACTTGCATTTCACTGTGGAAAAGTAACACCTACAAATAAACCAATCCAAAGTAAATTTAAAATGAATATAAAGTGTAACCCATGGCCATGTAACCTATATAACCCGTTCTGAGCTCACATGGACAATGTGATCTCAAGAGGGCTGACCCTTTTGTCCCTTTGGCTTATGCTGCCTCCACACAGAGGTTATGCTGGGAAATTTCCAAATATAGCTTATGTCTGGCTTTTCATATATTTGAGTAAAAAGAGTCCCCAACTTCCATACAAGCACTCAAGGTAGTAGAACAAGTGTAGAACAGCCTTTATTTTACCCTACAGAAAATGCAAAAGATACAGAAGACTCAAAGAAGTTTGTAAACAGAGAAAGCACTCAAAATAGTTTCCCCTCCAAAGGAACGAAGCTAGGAGTTGTCATCAGGGCAATGTACCAACATTCCAATGAATCCCTAGTGCTCTGACAGGGTCCTCCAATATCTTTTCCAGTCACATAGGACCCTCTTTTGGATTCCACTGATGAGCAAACATTTTGCGGCTCTTAAAAAGTCAAACCCCTTCCACTACTACCTGTGCTGTCCAAATCTTGTGGGGCAGTGAGAGGGGACCAAGTGCAGGTCTTGTGCTCCCCCATTTTGTTGCCTTAGCTCCTCGTTGCCAAGCTGCAGTGGCAGCAGCTAACACATTAGCAATTCCCTTTCAACTTGGAGTTGCTCTCCAGGTAATCTGCATGGCTGGCAGTATCCAAGAAAATCTCCTTTCTCTGCTACAAGGTTAGATCATGGGGTTACACTGCCCTCTTCCAATTAGGAGACTGTGGATCAGGGACATTGCCCATAAACTCCCCTCTCAGGCCACATGGGCAAACATATCTCCTTCTGCTTATGTGCATGGAAGAACTATTGCTCTCTCTTGGTAGCCTGGGAAACCACACAATCAGGGACTCTTCTCATTGACAGAGTAAGAAAACTGTGGGTGAACACCTACCACTTCCACACACTCTGACTCAAGACAGTAAGTAAGGTTTCTGGGAGTGGCAGGGGACCCCATAAAGTATACTAATAGTGAAATTGACTTGGTTTTTGTACATTTATAAATATGGGACTGGTAATAGTTTGTAATGGACAAACTGTGCTACATAGCTTCAGACAATTAGATTATTTGTGGTACGACAGTCTGTAATCTAACCTGTTAGTTAGGAATAATGGAAAGAGTAGGAGACTTGGAGATGGGAGTGACCTAGTACCTGCATTTTTTAGCCATGACACCCCACCCCCAGCTGGAGTTTCCTCATCTCTACAAAGTGACAACAGTAATCCCTACCTCATAGCAATGTTGTAAGGAAAATACTATAAATGAATTATTACTGAGGTTGGATTAGCGTATGCCAGAATCTTTTTTGTGAGCTCTTATATGGTGTTTTGGCTATTTTATATGTAATGATTTCTTCTCCAGTAACCAAGTGAATTGTCTTATAAAGCATAGGATTTAGAAGGAAGCTTAGAGATCACCTAATACAGTTTCATTTTACAAATGAAAAAACTGGGGCGCAAAGAACTGACTGCTCCAGTCACACAAATAGAAATAAGAAACAAGTGAAAAAACCAGGATTCAAACTTAGGTTCTCTAGCTCTGAACCCAGTGCTGCCTGTATCATGTAATACCATCTATTCAGATATCATTATTAAATATGAACTCTTTGTTTTTCCCTGCCTATTCCATAGTCATTTTTAAAGTTCTGAATTAAACTTCCTAGTTTCATTGTGTTTCTAGATTTTGCATTCCAGTTATTTTATATGACTTAAATGTGAATACATTTAAAGTCTGGTCACAATTTAAATAGCTAGAAAGATTGTCAAAGGTAGTATTGGTTGACTTTTTAGTGTGGTTTTTAAATTGATTTTCCCTTCAGTGCTTATTTAAGCCAATTTATTTTCAATTCTCCTTTAATTACAGGTTCTAAGCTGGTCCCATTTTGGAGCTGGCTACAGATGGGCAAAGATCTACTTTTGATACGACTTCGATATTTGACTGGTATCTGGAAGCTTGTAAATACTCGAAAAAAAAATTAGGTTATTTACATTCATTGAGGATATTAATATGCACCATTGCCATTTCACTTGAGATCAAATATTAAATAAAACTGAGATAAAGTTGTGGATCTTGTCTACTTTTTTTTTTAAGAAAACAAACATTTTCACTTCTTTTGGTAGGTAATTAGAACAAAAGACTTTTTAAAGTAGGTGTGGAAGGGGTAGTATTTGCTACTATTATGAATGTTCTTTGCGTATCACTTTCTCATGCATATATTTATATATATACAAATGTTTTCCTACATGCAGCTGATTTTAAGCACATATTTGTGTATTTAAAAGATAACTGAAATGCTTAAATGCCATGCATGTAGCAAGTGGGGTTTTGCAATAAATTTTGTTAGAAAAGCTAATAGTTAAAATTCCGTTCCAAGAATTAATACGACAAATTTATTTCAATTTTGTATAAAGTGTTCTTGTCTAACTAAATATGTTTATTGAAATTTTTCCTTTAATCAAATTCAGTAGGAATTGTTATAAGCATCAGTTTCCAAGTTTTGCTACAAGATTCAGTTTTCTAGTTCCAAGACTGTTAGCACTTCTAATCTTGGATATCTTTTGACATCATAACAACTTCTGTTTTTAAGGTAAGAGTCTCCAAAAAAAACAGTCATTTAGAAGAAACACATGTTCTAAGCTATGGTAATTTGAAATTAAGCTTGCAAATTTTTAATTGTTCTTAAAGTATAGATTTAAAATCTGTGACTAATAATTGCAGCAGCACTTGGATTTTTTTGAGGAAAATTTTCATTAATGACAGTTTTATATGTAATTTCTCTGAATTTTCCTTGCTGAATATAAATTCTGTTTTCAAGAGATTTAAAACAAAAATCATTGTAATTTTTAAAGTATCCTTAACAAAAAGTTTCCCTAAATTAAATTTACAGTAATCTTAATTGCCTAAATATAAAAGTAACTTGAGTTTTATTTAACAGAACTCAGATCACATATATTTAAAAAGACCACAACCTTAGCCCTTTTAAATTTTCATTAGACTGCTTTACCCATACTCTTCCCTTTCCTAATTATTCCTATCTGTGCCTTACTAATTCTCATATCAGTATTTATTCTAAATAAAGTACTACATCTTGACCTTCTTCTCTAAACAGTTCCCCCAAACTGTGGACAAGAAAATGCAAGACTTTTTTCCTAAACATAAAGCTAGAGAGTTTTCAAGAAAGATGTTAAGGATGTGTTGCATTTTATTCTTCTCTTATATATACTTTTTATAGGTTTGTTCATTTCCTTCAACCTGTCTTACACCATGACAAAATTTTGTTGTTGTTCAGCCTTTTTTCAGTCATGTCCAACTCTTCGTGACCCCATTTGGTATTTTCTTGGCAAAGATACTGGAGTGGTTTGCCATTTCCTTCTCCAGCTCATTTTACAGATGAGGAAAGTGAGGTAAATAGGGTTAAGTAGCATGCTACTTAACACAGCTAATAAGTGTCTGACGCCACTTAAACTCAGCAAGATGAGTCTTCCTTACTCCAGGTCCAGCACTCTATCCACTGTGCCACCTACCTGCCTCATGATAAACTTAAGTTGTGTAAAACAATAATCTACTCAAAACACATGTTCTTCTCTGGACCAGGTAGTAAAAGCAAATAGAAGTGAGTCATGTGCCTATAAACCCTACTTAACTAATAATTCCTGGACAAGACAAAATGAAGACATCTCCTGCTTTCACTTATGCTACATTTAATACTTGTCCTCTTTCATCCAGGTCAAATCTTTGGTTGTGAATCATTGTAAAACCTTGAATAGTCAAAAATAGCATCATTGTTCTTTAATGTCTGCATAACCAAAATAAATCGGTAATCTTTTCAGCTAAAAAGATAGCTTGTTCTGCTGAGCTTGTTGAGGTATTCCTTCATTTAATCTGTATGTTTACCATTATATATGACCACCTTGAGCCACCCAACTTATTAATTTTATGTTGAGCAAATAGGTGTCATAGGTTCTTAGTCTATTTAAGTGAATTAATTTCTGATTTTAATTCATTTTATGAATATGAATAATTTTCATTAAAATTTAAAACTTAGGAGTACTATAGTTTTTCAGAGAAACATACTAACAGTTTTGTCAATAAAACATTTTTTAGTATACAAAAGGGAAAAAATGCAGAGGAGAGCAAACAGCAACTTTCTTATTTTCTTATTAAATGTAATATTTATATTTTTAAAAACTCTAACAAGTTCAATTTCTTATACAATTCTTGGTTTGGGGGTTTTTTTTTTTTGGTGTATTGTAATTATTTTGTTCAATTCATAATAAAGACTTTATTAAGTTGCCGAATTGAAGGAAAGGTTTGTATTTTAAATGGAAAAGTTTGTCTCAAAGATTTTCAGTTTAAAACACAAATATCCATAGGAAGGTAAAACCTCATTTTAGTATTAATTATTTCAATCAGATTATCTAACAACTTATTAATGATTGCCAAAATTGGAGTTTTGATTTGGAGAGAAACAAAGAGGTTAGAGGAGTAATTCTGAAAGCATAGGCACTTCAGTCCCTGTCTAGTACCATAGTGTAGGGGCATGAGGGGCCTAAGAGCCGAGGTTGTGAGAATGGAGAAGAAAAAAGTATCCATGAAGTGGGACAATGATGAAGAAAAGAAGGTAGAAGTATTGGTGCCAGCAACTGCCAGAGTACTACTAAAAATGATCTCATTGACACCTTTGGGCATACTACTGTAATTGGCCAATACCTCGAAAGCACATTATCTTAGAAAAGGAAAAAGGTATTTACTTGAAACATTAGTCACTCATTATTATTCCTACTGATGATAGATTTTCCCCTTTCCCTTCACAAAGCCATCTTTCTCTTTCAAAACATTACTACTCACCATCATTTCTTTCATGAAGCCTTTGAGAATAACTATCCAGTTTAGGTTACTGTAAATAATAATAATTAACATCTGCCAAATGTTATGACCAAATGTAGATTCCTACACAAATTTGATCTGTTGTTATTTGTAAGGTGACTGTGGTAGCTGGCCAGTATCCTTTAATATTTCAAGGGATGTACAGTCTTACTTGATAATGGGATCCCTCATTCAGTGCAGCTCATTATATCCATACCTTGCACCTTGTGCAATTTCATCAATATCTTCAAATCTTTTCTATACCCCCCCTAACATGCTGGAGCCCTATTTAATGCCGTTAAACATTCTTTTAATACTATTGCAGCACTCAAGCTATCCATTCATTTTTTCCTTGATTTTGCTACATAACCAGCCCACCTCCTTTTCTTAAAATACATCCCGTAGGTGATCCTTTTAATGTTATTTCTTGCCTACAAGTCATCACTGGCAAGATGCTGTAACCTATCTGTGCCCATCATCTTTGGTTTTTTGGTTCTCTACAACTTTTAAGTTTATTCATAGTTTTGTTCCTTCTGAGATCCTGATTTTTTATCATTTATAGCCATATAGCATCACTGAAAGAACATTGGTGTTTAAAAGATGAGTTTTTGGCTGGGAAGATGGTGGAGTAGGTTAGAAAATTCCAAGCTCTCAAGATTTCACGCCCCCACCCCCCAAGGAATGAAACAACACCACAGGGCGAACAAATTGTGGGTAAAAATAAGAATGGGGGCACAACAAGGGTCCTCTTGGCACAATGAGAAGATCAGAAGAAAAATCCCAGAACAAGGTTTGGTCTCTGTGAAGAGTAAATACCTCTAGGCTAGGATTGCAGTTAACAACAAAACAGTCTGAGGCTTAGGACAATCTGTTCCTACCCCCAGGTGAGCAGAGCCCAACTTTAACTTAAAGTTCAGAGTCAAGAAATTAGCTGGAAAAATGAGCAAACAACAACAAAAAAAGAACTTGACCATAAAAAGCTACTTCAATGGCAGAGAAGACCAAGACACAAACTCCAAAGAGGACAACAATGTGAAAACAGCTACAACCAAAGCCTCAAAGAATAATGCTAATTGGACACAAGCCTAACAAGAATTCCTGGAAGAGTTAAAGAAAGAAAGAAGAATGGTAGAGGAAAAATTAGGAAAGGAAATGAGAGATGCAAGACAATTATGAAAACAGAATTAACAGCTTGGTAAAAGAGGCGCAAAAAAAAAAAAATCCTGAAGAAAATAATACCTTAAAAGCAGAATAGGGGCAGCTAGGTGGCGCAGTGGAGAGAGCACCAGCCCTGATGTCAGGAGTACCTAAGTTCAAATCTGGCCTCAGACCAAACACTTGACACTTATTAGCTGTGTGACCCTGGGCAAATCACTTAACCCCAATTGCCTAAAAAAATTTTTTAAAAAATTAAAAATATATATAAAAAAAGCAGACTAGGCCAAATGGAAAACTAGATACAAAAATTCACTGAAGAAAAGAACACAGAATTGATTGAATACAAAAAAAGGCACAAAAGCTCGCTGAAGAAAATAATTCTTTAAAAATTAGAATTGGGCAAATGGAAGCTAATGACTTCATGATACATCAGGAAACAAAAAAAGTCAAAAGAATGAAAAAAAATAGAAGAAATGTGAAATATCTCATTGGAAAAACAACTGACCTAGAAAATAAATTGAGGAGAATAATTTAAGAATTATTGAACTACCCAAAAACCATGATTAAAAAAGAACCTAGACATTGTATTTCAAGACATTATAAAGGAAAACTGCCCCAATATCTTAAACTCAGAGAGTAAAGTAGAAATTGAAAGAATCCACTGATCACTCCCTGAAAGAGATCTCAGAGTAAAAACTCCCAGGCAATGTATAGGCAAATTCCAGAGCTTCCATGTCAAGGAGAAAATACTGCAAGTAGCCAGAAAGAAACCATTCAGATATCATGGAGCCATAGTCAGCATCACACAAGAGTTAGCAACTTCCTTGTGAAAGGAGCTGAGGGCTTGAAGTATGATATTGCAGAGCTAAGATTACAACTGAGAATAACATACCCAACAAAACTGAACATAATCCTTCAAGGGGAAAATAGATATTTAATGAAAAAGAGAAATTTCAAGCATTTCTGTTGAAAAGACCAGACTTGAATAGAAAATTTGATATTCAAACCCAAGACTCAAGAGAACCATAAAAAGGTAAACATAAA